AGTATTTATGCGAAAGCGTCGTTCACGCCCTCCACTCACGCTTGTGGACCATCTACAGGATACATCGAGTATACTTTCCCTCCCACCCACCCTCTCGGATACAGTCGGGTCGTTATTTCCAGCTTTTGGGATAAATCACGCAGTTTAAGATTTAGTTCAATTTTTCGTCGATTCTGCTCTCATTTTCCTTCTTATAGGCTATACAGAAGACAGGTTGGAAAACCTCAGATGTTACAGATGCGCTCAGTACGGGCACTGGTCCAAAGACTGCTGGAGATTTKCAAAGAAGACAACAAAACCTGCGTACGGCTCCTACACATACGCCGACTGCTACAAGACATCTTCCAACCAACCAGGAACAAGCAAATGAAGAAATTATGGATAACGACTTGCTAACTCAGGTACATTTCTCTGATGAAACTTTTGAATTTGAGACAAACAAACAAGGCACGCCGCAGGTCAAGGGAAGTTTAAAAAACAATATTCAATTTTGGAGAGACATAGGTACGTCTAGTTTTATTATCAATGTCATCGAAAACGGATACAGTCTACCCTTTGAAGAAGGCCCTCCAAATCCGGTTTGGCTTAAAAACAACCATTCAGCGTTTTTGCACCGTAGTTTTGTACATGAAGCCATAGAAGAGCTAGTTAACTCTAATCGCGTCGTAGAAGTTAAGCAACCTCCTCTAGTCATTAATCCGTTGTCGGTCTCTATTCAATCCAGTGGCAAGAAAAGGCTCATTCTAGATCTAAGACACGTGAACAAATCGCTCAAAAAACAAAAAATTAAGTATGACGATTGGAAAGTAGCATTGAGTTTCTTCGAGAAGAATTCCTTCATGATCTCCTTTGACCTAAAAAGTGGGTACCATCATATTGAAATTGATCCTAAGGACCAATGTTATCTCGGGTTTGCTTGGCCGACTGGCAATAACGAAATTAAATTCTATGTTTTTACGGTCTTACCATTTGGGCTATCTACTGCGCCATACATTTTCACCAAAGCACTTAAACCACTCGTGAAACACTGGAGATACCAAGGGATATGTATAGCCCTTTTCCTAGACGATGGTTGGCTAACAATGTCATCATATGAAGCCGCATGCAATTTAGCCTTAAAAATCAAAAATGATCTGAATAACGCCGGTTTCATAACAAACGATGAGAAGTCAATCTGGGTTCCTACTCAGAGACTTACGTGGTTAGGTTTAGTTTGGGATTCTGCTAAGGGTACCTTGGAGGTCTCGAGTTCAAGAATCGGCAAAATTTCCTCAACTATAGACAGAATTATTGAACACAAATTTGTACTTTCTGCTAGACAATTAGCTTCATTCACTGGTCAAATAATTTCAACTGGCCCTGTAGCCGGTAACATTACTCGCATTATGACAAGGCATTGTTGCATTACGATAGCCTGTGCGGACCGTTGGGATTCAATCATAAATCTAGACACTTACTGCATAGACGAATTATTATTTTGGAAAAACAATCTTGGGTCCATTAAGTCAAGRGATTGCTTCTTAATCAATAAACCTCACTGTTTCGCCTACTCCGATGCAAGCTCAATTGGCTGTGGGGCGCAAATTACCTTAGATAAGACCTATATTAGCCACAAACTCTGGGAGGAGGAGGAGAAATGCAAAAGCTCTACCTGGAGGGAATTGTCTGCCATATTATTTTCACTTGAATCATTTAGTAAGTTACTTGAGCGTTGTCATGTTAAATGGTACACAGATAATCAAGCGGCGGCAAAAATCGTCGAGGTTGGAAGCATGAAACCTGATTTACACGCACTAGCCATCCAAATATTCAGATTCTGTGCCATTAAACACGTTAATCTAGAAATAGAATGGATTCCGCGAACGGATAATCAACAAGCAGACGCAATAAGTAAATTCATAGATACGGATGATTGGCAAATATCTGATGGATTCTTCCAAGAATTAGAACAATTATGGGGCCCTCATACCATAGACTGTCTTGCTAATTATTACAACGCTAAGCTACCGAGATTCTACTCTAGGTTTTGGAACCCAGGCGCAGAAGGCGTAGATTTCTTTGCCCAAAACCTGGGTAACGAGAATTGTCTAGTAGTCCCGCCAGTTTGTATCATACCAAGGGTCCTGCACTACATGTACGCCCAAAAAGCTAGAGGAACTTTGGTTGCACCATTTTGGCCTTCCGCGGCCTTCTGGCCCTTAATCGATCATAGGTATAAGCGGTTTGTGGGAGATTACACTATCGTGGAAGGAAAAGTTGCGTTTTCACTTGGCAGAAACACTAATTCGCTACTAGGATCCGACAGATATACCGGGCAGGCTATCGCTTTCAGGTGTGACTTTTCTTCACGTTAAAAGATCATAGTAAGGTACGAATGCTATACTTATATCGGGCTAGTGTTGTAAAAGGAATTAACGGCAAGGGCCACATTAATTCCGGTCGTGCCAACGCAAGGGAGGGCATGTATTGTTGAAGCCTTTGTCAGTCAAAAGGTATAGGGCGTATCAGACCTCTGATACAGAACAACAAAGCGGCAAGGGTCAATCGTTGCTTATATACAAATGCAAGGGCGGGTATATCATGCATGTAGAAGTTCGTAGAAACGTGTGTACACTAACAGTAGACAAGGACGATTTGTCGTTCTATATGCAAACGCAAGTGCGAGTACCAATCATTTGAAACTTATGACAGCCAGTAACATATGGTAGACCTTCTATAGAGAACAACAAAACGGCAATGGCCAGTTGTTGCTTACGATATACAAACGCGGGGGCGGTATATTTTTGAATGCTCAGACGACTATTATATCATCATGTATACGACAACCCAGTGTCATGGTTTGCCATCCGTTTCTTGTTGTAATGTCTAATAGTTAACGTATGACATCATGGGAGTCCGGGTCAACAGTGTATGTACGGCACTATACTAACGTATGTACGCAATGTTGTATTTTTCAGGCTGTACAAGAGTGTCGCTCATGGCTCCACTTACCAATTGAGTTAAAAGCCCGATTTAAATAATTTACTAACAGCAATGTATACGTCTAGATCTACTTCCACAGCAGCCCTTTATTTAAAAGAGATAAACAGATTCCTCCAATGGTGTAAACTGAAGTCCGTGAACATAAGTATACCTTTTCCAAGCTCAATAGTAGCGGTTTACCTCCTCGAGATCAAAGACAGCATGTCTGCCTYCTCGACAACCAAGGCCCACGCGGCACTCAAGTGGTTTCACTCTTTCTGCCCGCTCGAGAGTCTCAATCCACTGGACGAGGGTATTTGTAGGAATATAGTTGAAAGCGCCAAAAGATCCCGGACAACTCCCAAAACAAAGAAGAAACCTATCACCATTGAAATGATGAAGCGGATTATAGACAATTATGCAACAGACAACGCATCCTTGAAAGAGCTACGTGTGGCCACTTTATGTGCAATTGGATTTGCTGGGTTCCTGCGATTCAATGAACTGTCAAACATTAAACCGATACACATCTCATTTGATAAGCAATTTATAGTAATTTTCATTCCAAATAGTAAAGCTGACATTTACCGAGAAGGTAACAAGGTTTACATCGCTAAAACGGGGACCAAATATTGCCCTGTAGCATTACTAGAACGCTATATAGAGTCAGCTAATATTCCTAGAAAGTCTGAATTATATTTGTTCCGTAGAATAACGAAAACTAGATCAGGATTTACCTTGAGAAATGAAAAACTGTCTTACACGATTACACAAGGTGTAGAGAAATGTTGAAGGACTGCCTTATTTCCCTAGATTACAATCATAAAGACTACGGTCTACATAGCTTAAGATCCGGCGGTATGACAGCAGCTATACAGTCAAATACTCCCATTTCAGAAAGACTATTAAAACTCCATGGTCGTTGGAAAAGCGATACTGCAAAAGATATGTATGCCCTAGAACCAATTCAAAGTAGACTTAGAATAACCAAAAACTTAGGATTGTGAATCATCATTTGCCTTCTAGTATTAGTGACGTTAGAAAGCTATTAATCATTTATCAATATTGTTTATTATTGCTAATAAAATCAGAATTATGGTCCGCAAGCGCACCTGCCATTTACAACATCGTATGTTG